CTTTCAGCTTTCTCTCCTGAAACTAAACTAAGCCGATTTTGTGCGTAAAGCTCGCTCTTGAAAATACAGATCTCAGTCATTCTTTAGCTTTCAGCTGGGTGATCCCATCTGGCATCAGAAAAGTAACCCCTTCCACAACCACATGGTAATGGCTCCTCTTTGAAAGGGAAGAGAGATTGAAAATATTTAGTGTGATAGAAAAAAGTAAATAACCTGTAATGGATTTTACAAAAATGTTTTACTTCATGAAGGATTATTTCCTCCCTCTACCTGCTGCTAATTTAGTAATATCAAGCACTGCTTTTGCACGAAGGCTTTGTCCCCTGGGATTATTAGCTCTTAAACTCAGCTAAATGTTCCTCCTACAGCAATTCATGTTACATTAAACAAAAATATTCAAAGCATTGTCTAAATGGTTTGCAAGTTTCATTCTTTGAACCTTCTTGATGTTTGTTGTGCCGAATTTTTGTTGTTAAACAAATGTATTTTTCTTTTTCAGTCTTCATTATACATTTTAGACCTAGAATCAGGAAGAATGAAAAAAAATTAACGTGTTTTTGGACAAAACCCTTTCCATTCCTTACCTTAAAGGGAGGAGACTTAGGCAGCCAAATAGGAAAGACAGAATGAAGCAGAACCCGCTGTACCAGTCCAGTGTGCTTTGATAGATCTTGTTGTAGACGGTAGATGTCACGACTCCCGTGATGACTAAGGACAACTGCAGCAGGACAAACACCTTACCTGTAAAACAAGAAAAGAGATCGTCACTGGGGAGAAAAAAACTGCTGTAGTATATATTTGCAGACTCTGCATGGAAGACTGATGTGGTTGTTGTTTAACAAATGCCATATAGTATGATCTTTTATTTGCTGTTGTTCTGGACCAGAATTAAATGCCTTGTTTTGTCCTTTAAAGGTACAGGACAAAAGAGCTATCTAGAAAACTGGCTGCTTAAACAGTTGCTAACCTGAGCTATGCCATGTGTTGAGGTAGCTGCTTCAGAAAGCAGTTAATAGACTGAGAAATAAAAGTGCCCGTTTCCATAGCATGTAGAAAGGTAGCCCTGGGCTAACATCTTAGGATAAGAGAGATTTTAGTCAGGGTCTGCTTCTGTCCTAGACCAGAAGGCTGATCTGCTGGATTAAAACGGTAATACTACCTGATTTCTGGAGCGGTGGTGGTGTCAGCGGCAGCGCTGCCTCGAGGGTAGCTCATGCCCCCTGTGGGAGTTGAGCGTGGTTTGAATGATATTTAGGGAGGAGGGAAGGGAGAAATTGAATTATAACTCAAACAGCCGAGGAATAATCACTCTTGCTTAAGCGCAGGGTTCTGCTTCTGTGATGGTAAGTGGAGAGAGGGGAAACAGTGCAGCCCCCAGGCACGTGCAAAAGGGGGGCCGGTTCGGGGCTGTGGCCCTCATTGCCTTCTCCACCTGCACGGCGCCAGCTGCCGCATCCTAAGGACATGGCCACCCCAAGGCAGTGGCTCCACTGTGTCGTCCTGCTCCTGAACTCTTCTGTCGGCAATAGCTGAGTGCAGCCCGGGTAGCTCGTGGTGAAGGTTGAAGACAAAAGAGGCTGATATATGATCCAAACAGTGTGCTGATTAATCTAGTGTGCAAGTTGCATTATTTGTGTAAAACAGGTGAGATTGTTACAGACTACTTTAAGGAGCACAGACGATAGGGATAAACTGGTGACAGAGCATGGCTTCTACGTGACTATTTTTGTATTATCCTTCAATATACACACAAGGAAATTGGACGCTGCACAGTAGCACTGCAGGTTGATTTTTGCATCTGTTTGGCTGGGCTTGTAAGATATCCAAATATGACATAACGCAATAACTCCCCACTGAGGAAAAATGGTTTATACATGGACATGGGCTGAAGCTGAAAGCTCTAGCGTGTGGGCGTAACACCATAAACAGAAGACATTCACATGAGCTTGTACTTCCTGACAAAGAAAGGGAAAAAGCATGTCTGCGAGCCCAGTAGTATGGATGTAAGTTAGAGGTCTTTGGCCTATTGACTGGCGGCCGTCAGGTCTCTGGACCTGTGTGTTTGCACCATGGTGGGGCTGCACAGGCCTGAACTGCTCTGACCCAGGTGGGTTGTGCTCCTGGTTCTGAGAAGAAGAACGTGGAGCTGGCAGTAAGATGGCGGGTTGCTGAAGGGGCAGAATAAAACGTTTTGAGTGATGAGATCACGTGGCAGAAAGCAAAATGATTCCAAAGACGGCTGTGGGGATGTGTTTTGAAGAGGCATGAGCAGCCACAGGCCTGAGGTGCTGTTTGGATGCAGGAGCAATTCTAGTTATTACGTCTGAATCAAGGTCATGGGGTAAAAATGGTGGCCTCCAACGTAGTGTTGTGAAATACATATATGAATATTTGACTATTCTCTAACAATGTTGTTATTAGAAAAATTAAGGATTTCTCCTCCTGCTTACCAAAAAGTGACAATTTTTATAGAAAGGTCAAATCACGTTCTAATAGGAACAAACTACCAAGGAACTCTTTGGGGAGATAGAAAGTGTAACTGAGAAAAGATGAAAGAAATTCATCCTTCTAAAAGCTGGAAGTAAAAGAAGGCAAACGTAAATGGTATGACTATCATGCTGCTTCATTCCAACGTTTTGCTGCTCTTGGTTTTCCCTGGAGCACTGTGCTTTTGAGCAGTACCTGAGGTATTTTTTTCCCTGCCTTTGAGCTGCACACTGATGGTAATCTTTTAAAGCATGTGTTGAAAATTTTGTGGATGTATGATGAAGTAACCAGGGAGGAGAAGTATGTACGTGACAATCCTGTTCTGCAAGTTTTTCTGCTCCTCCCTTCTCTTCTGTGGTACCAGCTGTTCTGGTTTTATCATGCAATATACAGTTGGTAGCAATAACTTATTTTAGCCTATGTATTGTAGGCTGAATGGAGGGACGGGGGGTTTTGACTGATAATATAGCCAGAGTACTCACCATAAGATGATCCTTCAACATGCTTGGATAACATGGACCTGATGGTTGGTAGGGGGATGAGGGCAAAGAGCATCACTGCCCGTGCTGTAATGCAATGAATATTTCATTGTCTTCTGTCCCATAACACAGCCATTGCTTTTGAAGACTACGTGCCTGAGTTTTGGACAGACCCTTTGCTTTGCTTTTTCTTGTGGTCCCTGGAGGACCACAGAGCAGTACAAACTCGTTGGAGGAGCGTAGGTCTTTGCTTCATGCAAGGGATGGTGGATACATG